CCAGTAGCTGTTACCTTCACCCGGTCAGCCAGTCTTATCAGCGATCCATTCCAGTGCTGGGTTTGCCATTCCTGGCTTTTTCTGCTGACTCTCCTCACTGTGCCCCAGGGGGCAAAGAATACCCCCCTACCATGGACCTTAATAGCCGCTGGCTCTTAATCAGGCAACATTCACCCCGGTGCAATCCAACTGTGCCTACTAAGTAATTATCCCTGCCCTGTCTCTGACCCGACTCTCCCCCACACTCACAACTTTGTAGCACCAAAGGAACTGGGCTGTTCCTTGCCCTGTTACATTCAGTCCTATGAGTAACTGTCTGACAACTGACAATTTGGATTCTTTTTGCATCTGATGACAACCAGCTACCAGCCTAACATCACCAAACTCAGCTGTCAGAAGCAGGGCCAAGACATCTATCTTACTCATTTACGGCAATGAATACAGAGCATCTATTTTAAGGAATTAAAGAACCAACATCTTCCATGGTAACATCTCTTCGGAGAAGCATGGGTGTGGTGTAGGGGTGGAGGAGCCATGCAAAGACCCAAGATGTGATCTTCCAAGCCTCGCTGTAAAGGCCAAGGACAATCCAGGTGCCAACCCCTGTCTCTCTATTCTACCTACCATTTAAGGCCAAGGTGTGGTGAGTGAATTAAGAGGAGACAGGAGTAGGGGAGGTAGGACCCTGTGACCAAGGGCCTAACTCTGCCCCCTGCCCCAGTATCACCAGGTGGTTAGTACTTTTCTCTTCTCTTCTCTCCCCTTTTTTCCTATTTCTTTTTTCTCCTCCCTTTTTTCTTTCCTTCTCTCTCTCCTTTCACTGTCTCTCTTCTCTTTCTTTATCTCAACACAACATGTTTAACAAAAAAGAATACACAACAGCAAAAGTGGTATCTGAAGTTTTATTTATTGTCACCAGGTTTACAATTTTTAGAAAACCTGGGATTTACTGTATTAAAAAAAACAAACAAAAAACAAAACAAAAATACCACCAACATGATTATTAACCATATTAATATGCAGCGTGTCCTGCCACATACCCCCCACCCTGGTTTTGTTTTTCTAGCATGCCAACACGCTGGCACCTTACAACGTAGCCATTGCAGTTTTTTCAGCACTCCGGCCAAAAACATTGCATACCTGTTATAACTGGTAATATCCGAGAGGCATGGGCATGGCTATGGGGCAGACAGAGGCCCCAATTATAGCCCTTAAGGCACCAGGTGTTTTAGGGCACCAAAGGGCCACAGAGGCTTGACTGACAGTAGGTCAACAGTGGAGTACAAAGTATCGTTATTCCCATTTTACACGTGGGGAAACTGACACGAAAAAGGGAAATGTCTTACCAAAGCTCACCCAGAAGGCAGTGGCAGAACTGGGATTAGACCCAGGTCTCATTAGCCCCCGCTTGGTCCTCTATACTTTAGGTCAGGGATGCCTAACTTTAGCACAGCTGGGGATTGTACATGGTACCTGTAGCCTGTATATAGCCCCCCTTGCTGTGCAGGTTGCAGCATTACCAGTGTACAGGCCTCCTCCAGCCCCCCACTGTGTGGACTGTGTATACAGAGTATCCAGAACCTCATTGCACAGACCCTAGACTCTAAAAGAGGCTGCCATGGTCCATAGGCTGTATGTCAACTGCTCATGGGCCACAATTTGGATAGTTCTGCTATAGGCTATGACTTCAAGTATAACCTGACGCTACAGACCAAGTTCCGCAGGAAGTTTTTCAGTCATGGAAAAAGAATGCAACAATGGAACTCAAACAACCTTGCTAATTTCAAAGCAGCTGTTCAGAAATCAAATACACCCCTCAAAGCACACAACTACTATATAAAGTACTAAGAGGAATGGTTAATTAATTCTCTCAAAGCTCATGCCTTTCTGAACCAGTTACTTTCTAAGATGCCTCCCTTCTCTACCTTATTCCCTGGTAGAAAAAGAAGCAATAGTATATCCCACAGTGTACTGCATTAAAAACACCATCTTAATCAACTAAGCCATTGTAAAACTTGCTGGGTATCTAGACTTTTCAAACAGAATACAAATTCTATAAATCACTATTGCAAGATTAGGGAAAACTGGGAGGGGGAAAAACTGGCATAAAAAGCCAACTATCTTGTTCAATAAGCAGTCAGGATATAAAGTGTTTGGAGAAATTTTTCATGTCTTGGAGATTAAAATATTTTTAAAATACTGACAGAAACCAACAATTCCTTCTGACAGCAATAAATGCCTACAAAAAGCCTGGAAGAGTTCTGGTCCTTACTCTCTGACAGTTCTTCTGTGAAAAAGGAAAGTAATGTTTAAAGTTACAGGTGAGTACGAGGAAAAATTATTCATGAGAAGTAAAATTGGAAACCTATTGGTATAGCACGTATCTTCATGTTTTGTATGAAGAAGATCTATTGAGAAGACAAGAAATGAGCTGGAGAAGCTATTAGACATTATAAAATCAAACTAGTAATTCTTCCCAGTGGGATTTCTCAGAATACTTACCCTGGTAATGCAGGAAAATAATTATAGCACACTGGAGGAATTATTTAAATCAGGGATGTCAAACTCCTTTGGACCTGTGGGCTAGATGAGTGGTGTAGGACCAGTCCATAGGCTGGATGAATGGTACTGCCAGCCCTGTGGGCCAGATGGGGTCCACAGACTTTCCCCCCAACCCTTCCCATTCTAAATCCAGTGCCTGCAATGCACACTCCGGGGTGTGCGCCACAAAGGACACCTACTGCGGGACCCATACTGCACGCAGTACCCGCCCTGGAGCGGCTGATGAGGGAAGAGGAAGGAGGTGCCAAATGAAGAGCATGTTCTGAACTGGCTGAGCTAGGTACTACCTGCAATGTGGGTCCTGAGCCAACCAGAACAGGCCAAGTTTGGCACACGTCCCAGGCCCTGCACACAAGGCCAATCTGGCACATCTCATATGGGTCAACTCTGGATGCAGGGGCAGCACTGGGGGCTGGATAATGGGGCTCCATAAGCCAGATCCAGCCCAGAGGCTGCATCTTTGACGCCCATGATTTAAGTAAAAAAAAAAGTTACAATGATACTAGCATCTAGAGCTATACCTTACAATATTAGAAGAAACCAGAATTCAAGTTTAGTTACCACAGTTGTAATAATGTTCCTGGTCTATAGTGAGACAAATTAGATAATCCTATTTTACAGGGTTGATAGTTATGGTGTTTTGACATTTGTTTCTGCCTTCAATTAGACTAGTCAGTTGGAATATAGTTCTAATAATACTTAGGAATAATGTTTGGTTTTTGCTCTTTTCAAAGGTGGGCAGAATTTCAGGTATCTGACTGCAATGCAATTGCAAGTTAGCATTTTACAGTCTACTTCATAGCCAGGTAACAGCAATCAAAGTAGAACAGGGGTGGGCAAAATGCTGCCCGTGGGCCAGATGTGGCTCACCAGGCCATTCTATCTGGCCTCTGGGGCCACTAAAAAATTTAGAAAGTTAGTATTTATCTGCCCCTGGCTGCCTCTCATGCGGCCCTCAATGGCTTGCCAAAACTCAGTAAGCGGTCCTCTGGCTGAAATAATTGCCCGCCCCTGAAGCAGAAAGTCCCTAATTTGGGTTTGTAGTAAAATGAATAGAACATACTCTGTTTGTGCAAGATGGGGATTTTGCTTTTTACTTTCATCTGATTTGGAAGTTCTATTATTATTCTTCTTCTTCTGCAGACGGCACTCAGTTGGACACAGTGATGAAGACAAGGTGTTCAAAGCTGTCTCTAAACCCAGTTCCTGCTATTTTCCTTTAACTGCTCCAGATAACATTCACTTGGCTTAATTCCCCCTTTAGCATCTACTTCAGTCATCACTGAAAGAGTGTTCTGCTGTCTTGCATCCCACTGCTGTGTGAATCAACAAACTATATTCTACCATTTCAGGCTGTTTGTAAGTTGATCCCAGCCAATGTTTTGGACTGAACTTTTTCTCAGAACATCAGTTCTCTTCTGCCTCTGGAAAACAATAGAAGATGAACTGCTTAATGGAGTTCTTCAGACTACAGTAAACATACCAACACCTACCACAAGCAATTGACAAGCCAAGATTATCTTTCCTTGAATATATTAGTGCATGCGTCAGCAACATTTTTGGGCAGAGTGCCTAAAACACTTGCAACCTTGACTTGCGTGTTGACATGCCAGGGACAGATGGTTGGGGTGCCACAAGGGACCTGATCCTTGTTGTGGCAGTGCAGCCTTGGCCCCTTCCCCACTGTCTGCCCTGAGGAATGCATGCCAAGCAAACTGCCTTCGTGTGCCACGCTCTGGCACCTGTGCCAGGGGCTGTCTACCCCTGTATTAGTGCACCTTTAATGATGTTAGCAAGATCTCCATGGTGTCCTGATCACCCTTTGTTCAGATGAACAAATATTTTTATTGTAAACAGATGAGAACAAAGTACCAATCAAAATGGTACAAGGTACCCAAAACCAAACGTTTCCTTTGGCTATTTCTAGCAGAGGAACAGTGTTGTAATACTGGTTCTCCATATTTTTTTTTCTTTTCAGTAGAAAAAAATACAAAACAAAAAACTTAACAACAGCCCAAAGTCAGCCTTTCTTCACTAGGTAAAGTCTTTGTTCTATCCAAGAACAACAGCAAAGTGCTAGTTATGTTCCCAGTCTCATGTTTGAGATGCTTTCTTAGTTATACTATTTCCTGTTCCAGAGTTTCTTCTGACACTTTACTTCCCGAGGTATCGTCATCATTAGAGTAATTTCCTGAATCTCGACTGCTCTGTTTAGAGTTACTGTAGTTTTTAAAGTCAGTTGGGTTTGCTTCTTCTTGAATGGTATTCTCAATTATACAACACTTTTCTGCTGGTTCCTCTGAAGTCGATATATATAGATTACTGAAGAGTTGTCCGCCAAAGGACTATAGGTGAGGGGGTAAATAGGAAAAAAAAGAAAGGAAAGCAAAGATCATTCATCTTAAAAAACTAACAAACAAAAAACCCCTTAAATGATGCTAGCTAATAAAGCTGCTTACAATCACATTTTCATTGTATTCTACACATCATAATCACATTCTCCACCTAAAATACTACCTTCTCGAAAGTATAAGTTATAAAGTATACGTTAGCTATAAACACTGTTTGGTGTGCAACCACGGGAAAGAACTATAATTTTTATATACGTACATATACACGCACACATACATGTATGTATATATATAATATGTATTTACACAGAATATAGATATACGAGTCTTAACTTGTTTTCTTAATCACTTACCACGTTAGTATTTAGGAATTTACAACATCCCAAGCACTGTACAAAGACACCTAACTTACTGAACAGAGAGGTGATACATCATCACATGAGCACACAAAGGTGTGGAGGAAGATTCCAATTCAGAATAATTTCTAAGAGCAGGAAAGTGGTGATAAAAATATCAAAGCCTACTTTTTATTGACAGGTACTATTTATACTCTTTGTACGGAGGTGATAAAAGTGCTGAAGAATAATACAAAAAAGAACCATACATTGAAGTGCTGAGTGTACTGTGATAAGGTATAAAAGTATTTGAGTGGTAATATAGGGAACTCTCCAGGCTTAAGTAGCTCCAGTACTTAACTGAATTCTGGATACATTTAACATCCATTCTTTTGCAGGAATCATTTATTTAAGAACCCTCCCTTCTCCCCCCCCCAAAAAAACAGCATTTGGAAAAAAAAAGATGAAAGATTACATGAAATGTGTTGCTAGCCTTCTACTGAACCCCAAAAACCTGAATTTTGCCTTATAACTTAGATTATTGATGACACTTGGATATTAACTGTGGTATTCTTTTTAAAGTTATGACAACTAAAACTTCTTTTTTCTGTTAAACTCTGATCAATTTACATGCTGCCTACAGCATAATGTTTTCAGAGAGCACTGTGAAAATTGATTCAAGTTCCTCTTAAGCTAGTATCCTGCTTTTTACTCAGTGTGGCTCAGGATCTGATAGAAGAGGGTCACAGCCATATCACCAGCTATGACATCCACTGTAGTTGTTCAGCTTCTTCATTATTAGTGCCAGTCTCAGACTGTCCTTGTACACTAGAGCCCTGCAGGCTGGATCTAGTTTACAATACTGGGTGCTCTAGCAGAATTCTGGCAGCAGGAGGCTTTACCCACACCACAGCTGCACAGCACATAAAAGTAGCAGCAAAAGCTAAATTGGAAGCATCAGTCTGCCTCAGACCCAAGCTGTATTGTTTTGACCTGTGGTTGGTTAACCATTGCTGATTGCTACACTGGAGTTCTGGGAACCAGATAATATAAGCCCTTCTCCGAAGAAGAAAAGAGAACAAGCAGCAGG